CTAATAGTGACAAAGCTAAAACTTTTGATTCCAGCATCACTCTAATGGTGTTTCTCTTGGAGGCCATTTAGCAAGAAGAAAGAGGAAAATAAAAGATGTGAGAAAGTAATTTTTTGATTGTTAAATAATAATTTGCTGCTGAAATTTGCTGAACTTCTGGAGATATGGAAAAATGCATGTCCAAAATTAATCACATGCACACACACACACAAAAAAAAAAGCAACACATGGGCATAAATTATTACAGTATTTGGTTCTAGATGTGCTAGTCATGACACAACACTCATTTAAAAAAAGCTCATTCTGCACTGTGATACTTATTTCTTCTCTGGTGCCCATGAAAGGCAGCTTTCTAAGCTGAGAATTCTGGTCTGTGTCTCTGTGGTCTGGTGCTCTGGATACACAACTTTCCTTCAAAGGTCACTTCGTGGCTTTTTGGGAGAACCAAACAGCTACAAGGTACAGAAAACCAGACAATCCAGGGACTGTAACTCCAGATGCCATGCAGGATTTAGAGACAGACAGTCACCCTGAATTTACTGCCACATACAAAGAGCAAATCTGATGGGGATTAGCTATTTCACCTTTTCCCCCAAGTTCAGAGCACAATCTGTTCTGTTGCCAGGTCCATTTAGGTTACACAGATAAAGATTTTGCAAAACATCCTTGACCTTGCCACAGTGTTTTCAAAATATTTACTGAAGTTCAGTGGAAAGATATATATTCTGCAGAGAAATAACCAGAAGGAGTATAAAACTGCTCTACTGCCAGCAGTGGTTAAAATGCCAAGGTGTATTTTAAAAATTCAAATTAAATTTGAGTTTTACAGTACCACAAAAACTGATTAAACATATGCCTTCTTTTGACAGAGCACTCTGCTCTGTCTGCTGTCGAGGGAGATATTGGGAAGTGGATTCCAGCTGGCTGTCGTGCAGTGAATGGGGCTGCTTGCATGTTCAGGGCCTCCCTGGGTTTCATCAGACTGTGGCATGGCCTCTTCTTATTAGCACTGTTTTCATGGGGAAAGACTGCTCCACATCTCAGGCAGAAGCTGTTTGAGCAAAACCCTTTTGCTTTTCTCTGAAGAAGGAAATCCTGCACAGCACACATGCAGAAAAAGCAACATCTGTGAGCCCTCCCCTGCCTCTTCCCATCTATGGACAAGGGGACAACCCAGCCTCTCAGCCCACCCATTTAGCTTTTCAGCGACTCAGCTGAACGCCAAGTGCCCTGTGGCAACTCCTTTATTTTAGCCTTGAAGCAAACCCTGCTGAAATCCCAGGGAGACCTGGACTATCCCGTGGCTCCCCACAGCTGGGACTGAAACAACCCCATCTCCTACAAAAACACTCCCTTCTAGGCTGAGGATAGTCTGTTTGAGGGTTGTTTTTTCTCTGATCTCATTTATTTCCCATCACTGTGCCTGTCATTACTCTCCCTCAAGCCCTCTCTCTCCCTCCTACCGTCGTGCCTTGCCTAATTCCTCCCGCAACGTTATCAGCTGGGATGCTGAGCAGCTGAGCTCGGCATTAGCGCTGACGCAGGCGGGCTGACAAATGAAAGCGCCGCCGGGTGTGCTTTCCCGGGAAGCGGGAGGTGGGAGCTGACGGGCTGGCAAAGAGCGGGAGCTGGCGCCTCCCGAGCCCCTTCCCTCGGTGACATAGGGGAAAGACCCATATGCTTCGCTGCCCTCGGCTTGCCAAGAGCCCCTGACTACCTGGCTGATCCGGGCTCTGCCCAGTGCCGTGTCACCCAGCCAGCCGCCAGCTTTGCAAAGGGATTCAGTGCTTTTTATTAGGCTTTTTGTCGGTTGTTTTTTTTTTGGTTTTTTTCCCCTGTGTATTCACCCTTAGGATCACAAAACCTGCATGGCATGACTGCCCAAGACCTACTCTAGCAGGAAATGGTGGGAGATGAAGGACCATTTGAAAAACAAGGCATGCCCTTAGTTAGTTTCCCTGGAAGAGGGACTAGATCCTCAGATTTTTACTGCCCACTGCTCCAAGGCTGGGTAGCTCCACATCCTCCATCCACCAGCCCCCAATCAACTGGGAAGCACTGGGATTTTTCTTAAGCCTTGGCATCAGCTGTAAAAAAGGTGAATCCCCCTTTGTTCCAAAAAAAGGTGGGTTTCTAGTTCTGCATTGGAAAATGTGTACTGAGCAATGACTGGCAGTAATTTTACATGATAAGTTCTAGCTGACTAGATTCAAAGTCTGTTTTCCCCCTGCACAACACCTCGAGCTGGGTTTGTTCCCTTACAGTTATTGTGATCAACTGCCAGGAAGTCACATCAGGAAAATTGTACATAACCAGCTAGTATTTCTCCTCTCCACTTTGTTACCAGTTCAGCCACCTGTCCCTGCATCTTCCTCTGCTAGTGATGCTTCTGGTGAGAAGATGTTTCTCCTTTCCTATCTGACCAACTACAAGAGAAATACAAGGTTTATGCTCTGCTTCACTAATAAATCTGGATTTATGTGTGAAAGAAGGCAAAAGAGTTTGAGGGAAAAAATCTACTCTAAACCGCAAATGTCCATTCCTTCAGTGGACGCAGCACACAATACAAGTAAATAAAGCTGTAAAATTCTCAATTCCTGGGGAGCTGGTGGTCCCTGTTTCCAAGGAGAACAGGGACCACCTGTATCCACACCATCCCTGTATTCCATCACAGGGACAGAAGAACCTCAGTTGGAGAGCCATTAGTGTCTGCTGCCTGGTTAGCTATGGGCTCATATTATTTTCCATTAGCCTGCATAATAGAAATCCCACAAGGATGAAAGCTAAAAGAAGCATTAATCCATGCATTCTGCATTAGACTGTTGAAGTGTGGCAGAAACAAAATGCGTCACCCAGTGCTCTGTATGGAAGGTGGCAGGTGGTGGCCCTTGGGGTGAGATTGAGTAGGTTTGTTTCACCTCTAGATGACACTCCTGTCTCTTCAAAAGGCTCCTGCCACCTGGCTCCTACTGTGGCTGCAGATCACAAAATTTTGAGAACAGATTAACCTGGCTCCAAGTGGGAGCTCCCTGAGCGTCTCAGACACAGTCACTGCCTGATTAATTGCAAGTGGTTGCACATTAGGAAGCCTTACCTTATTATTTTGCAAAAGTAAGGTAGAGAAAAAATGATGACTCGACTTTGGAAATTTCAGTTTCCCTCCCAAAAGAAGCAAGCTAACAAGTGCTCAGTGAGAGGGCTTCTCCTACTACCTTGTGAAGCATGGCTGTGGATTAGCAAGAGAATGCATTGAGCTGGTTGTCAAAAGTATGATGGGCTCAAGGCCCCAGACTCGCTATGAAACCATGGCCAGGCTGTGCCTCACTCCTAACACCACTTTAAAAAAGCCACAGGGCTTATCTGGTGTTATGGCCAATACCCAAATTAAACTCTCTGCAAAACCAGGACAGCTCCTTGTGCCCCAGCCCTCTCAGGAGACAGAAATCATTCCTGTTTACAAGTGCCCAAATACCACAGGATAACACACTGTAGCCACCATGAAGATGGAGAACTTTCTGAGTGATACTCTTCATTCTGCTTAGGCAATTGATTATAAGTATCTGATAATGCAAATTTTGGAAAGGCAAGACAGTAAAAAAAAAAAAAAATCAAATCCTGATATTAAAAGAGCCAGTAATAAAAAGTCCAAGATTAAAATGCTAGTATGGCTTTAGGTTACACAGCCATCATGTAGCAGAGCACTATACAGGACATGGGGAAATGCAGAACATGGTGTTTAAGGACAGCTGTAATTACATTTCTGAGAACTCTCCATGAAGAAATGTCGATATACTTCTAACACATGCTCTTTGATTCCCAGACAAATACCAAAGGGGTGAAGCTCCTATTCCTCCCAGAAATAAGCAAATAGAACATTCATACACAGCCTGAGATGGCAGCCCTACATCACCCTCTGATCAACTTCTACAGGCTGGTAGTGTCATGCAGAATCCCATGGGATTGTACTTCAACAGATCTCCTTGCCAGATGGGAGATTTATGGTTTTTATGGCTTAGAAAGTGATTATCAAGACAATAGGGGTAAATTCTCTGCAAGTTAGCCTTTACAGAAACTTCCTAACACGAGGATCTTCTCCTCACATTGTGCATCTTAATATGAACAATTATAGTCTTATGAATTTTGCCATTTCCCCAGTTTATGGCCTTTGCTTCCTCTTTTTCTACAAAAATTGAAATCTGCTTCCCAAGTACCTTTCCTCACTTGTAGTGCTGGCCAGACAATTAACAACTTCACTTAAAATCAATAAGTAGAGTTTTTCTGAGTGTGTAATAAGGTAGGAGATGAAGATAGATTTTTCTTGTGTAAGCTTTCCACATTAAACCCGAGTATTTACTCCTCTTGCATAAATCTACTTTCTTTCTTCTAATCATGATGATGAAATCAATTAAATACATTTTACTTGTCTGCACAAAAACTAATGAGATACTATTTACAGGCAAGCAGGGTATTCTTGATAATGAATTATTGGATGGAGACTCGAGCTAGCCTCTTAAGACTTTTAAAAGTTAAAAGACTTAAACAGCGTTGGACAAGTCTGAAGACGTACCAGACTACCAATGCCTGAAACCCGACTTTGCTCCTGAGTCAGAACAAAGCAAAAGCTGTGTGCCTGATTAGAGCTATGACCATACCTAGGAGAAAACTGTCCATTTTGGGGAAGCAATTTACAGGAACAGCTTGTTTACTCTCGGACAAACAGTGCTGCCTGTGAAAGCCCCATCTCAAGCACAGCTCCTGCTGACTTCAGTGGGAATCTGCTATGAGTCAAAAGTGGAGGCTCAGTAGTGCTCCATGGAGAAGTATAATCATCATTATAGCATGGATTGTAATTGGAGACTTGCAAAGTCAATCAGCCTGCTATATCAATAGCAGTCTGGTGGCTAAATTGCCTAGACTAATTCTTTTTTAACACCTCAGCCATAAGACTCATCATTAGACAAATGCCATATCCTAATATATACTGCAGCTTAAACACAATGAGAGCTTCAATCTGTTTTTTAATTTCTGTGATATTCCGTCTTTTTGCCCACATACAGGGAAAAAAGTTTATTGTAGGCAGAAGACTGCACAGACTGTTCCACATCAGAAGGTTCTTGCAGTCTTCTTGTCCCTGGGAAGTGATGAGCTCCTGCAGACCTCTGGTGCATGATGACATTTGAAAAATAAGCAATAAACAAAACAAATATTTGCTGCAGCTCTCGATGCTGCAGCTCAAAAGTCTGCTGAAAGAAATTATGAAACTAATATGTATAAGATTTATAAATGGGAGAAAAAGGCCAATCACCTGTTCAAAAATCTAAGCAGCCCCCATTATGATTCAGCTTACTTGTACAGTTACCTACTCAGTCCATGCAAGAATACTTGGAGGGGAAGAAAACTGACTCTTGCTCATCCCAATCCCCCATTTTCCTCTTGTACAACAAGCAGAGTGTGGATTTGGTTCTAGCTGAAGAACCTGTCCAGGGTCAAGCAGATGCATATCCAGTGGTGTGTCAGGCCTCTTAGTGGAACAGGCAGCCAGTATCACTGAATAGCACCCTGAAGTTATCTGGAATATTTTTATGCTTGTTCATTCCCTGGATCTGTTTCAAAAGGTAAGTGTTGTACCTGGTGACAGCAGACCGTGTTTTCAGAGCTAGGCTCCACCAGCAGTTAATTCAAACTGGCCTGTTTTTCAGCGCTCAAATTTGATGCAAGTTCCTCAGCTCCTCACTCAAGTAATTTTTAGTTAGAGACCTACCTTTTGGTAACTGATTGGGAACATTATGACCTGCCTTTAAATGTAATGTGTTACAAAATTAGAGGGACAATTTATGGGACAGCAAATACTTCCCTTTGCAAGTTTCTAACTTCCCAATGCATTACATCCCTATAACGAGTCAATAAAACAAGTCGCAGCTGCAGCACAATGAATGTCAAGAGGCACAATGGACAGCGGGTGTTTTTGATGATTTACTCTATCAGCCTCCTGAGCAAGCACTTTTACTTTCTGAAAGTTCACTGTGCTACGCTGTACGAGGTGAGTGCGTCTCGGTGCTTTGGCTGCACCTCCCGTACCGCAGTGAGATCGATACCGTGCACCGGCGTCAGCCTCGCTGGGAGAGGAAGGTCACCCGAGTTTAGCCGTCAGCTGGCCCGCAGACAAACCCTGAAAACAAAAAGCGGAAAAGCCTCCAGGGGCTGTGGTGCTTAAAGCAGCTCAGGCGGACACAGCCAGCGGCCGCATTGCCGGGGCTGGCAGCAGGAGGGCTCGGCCGCGGGCCGGCGGGGCCGGGCTCCGGTTTGCCTGGAGCGGTCCCACACTCGGGGTTGGAGCACAGGGGCTGAAATACACACGAAATCCTTCAGTTCACACAGATGCCTTCTCTTTCCAGTGGAACAGGGGCAAACGGGGCACAGCTCTGCAGGGCCCAGATGAAATCACGGGGCTTTGTTATTCTGCAGACCTAGTGTGCCTCCCAGTTATTATTTTTTACTTTATTTATAGCGCTACTTAAAACTGAGTACACATTCGCTATGGGGGAAAGAAAAGACTAAAAAAAAAAAAAACAACAAACAAAAACCACCAGCTACCATTGCCTCCAGCCTCTCTGAAATTAGCCCGGGTCAGCGAGAATTCAGCACGTCTCTCCTGCAGCGGGAGCTGCTGAGGGCCCGTGTTCGGCCGCAGGGCACAGCTCGGAGCAAGCGCTCCCCGCGGGCTGCCCGTACGTGTCCTGTCCCTGCTGGCGGCGGGGCGTGTGGGCAAGGCTGGAGGCGGCCCGTGAGGGCAGGAGCAGCCCAGCAGTGCCGCCATCCCCGTGGGGCGCAGGGGCAGCGCTGGAAGCGGCCGTGAGGGCAGGGGCGGCCCAGCAGTGCCGCCATCCCGGCGGGGCGTGTGGGCAAGGCTGGAAGCGGCCGTGAGGGCAGGAGCGGCCCAGCAGTGCCGCCATCCCGGCGGGGCGTGTGGGCAAGGCTGGAGGGGCCCGTGAGGGCAGGGGCGGCCCAGCAGTGCCGCCATCCCGGTGGGGCGCAGGGGCAGCGCTGGAAGCGGCCGTGAGGGCAGGAGCGGCCCAGCAGTGCCGCCATCCCGGCGGGGCGCAGGGGCAGCGCTGGAAGCGGCCGTGAGGGCAGGAGCAGGAGCGCCCCAGCAGCGCCGGGAGCAGCGCGGGCGCAGCGCCGCCTGCGGGCCCGGCCGGGAGGGAATGGCGGCCCGGGGCCGTCACACGGAAAGTCGCCAAGTGCTGTCCTAAGATATTCACAGCGTGTATTACCTGTTCGCAGAGACACGATTCACATCGCGTTTTAAAAATTCCTCCAGGAAATAATCATAATTATGAATTTTTAAAAGTGACTGAATGACTCAGCCTTCAGATTTGGACGTCTGGAATTAGGTGTCCTCTCTATACTATCTGCACTATTTTTTATTAAATAAGTAAAAAAAATTTAAAAGGAAAAAAAATACTGTGGCACAACATTTTTGTATGTTTCTATTTAAGTTAATTTCCATATTATTCCCCATACAGCTACACTGCTACCAAGGTGACAGTATGAAAGCATCAATGAATACAGTGAAACCTGTAAAAAAGGATGGAACAAGGAGACTGCATTGTGTTGAATCTGAAAGCAAAGTACTTAACTGGACTGCCAAGAGTGCTATCTGTGCTATCTCACAATGTTCTGCCCACTGCATCCCACTGGTGAACTCCTGGCCTCTTGAAAATCTCCATCTGAATGTCACTGAGCAGGGACTTCATCTGATAAAATGTCTCACACTTGATTTGCAATTGTTCTGCACTGCACGCCAACTCTGTTGTACCAGTGCTGGCTGTATGTTGAATTATAGGAATGATATACTCAGCACACATGTGCTGCTAGATAGGTGAGGGACAATAACATACCTCCAGCTCATGCTAGATTTAGTGAGAAGACTGAAAAGAGAATGACTTCATATGGACTTGTTTGTCTTTGCATCCAATTTTTAAATGGTACCACAGAGATCTACATTCTTCTCACTTAGCCATGTTTCCAGATTTTTTGTTGTTGTTTTGTGGTAAACAAATCAGAGTCTTTAGGAGAAAGCAGATATGGACATAGACAGACAAACACGCTAAACAGAACTTAAATATTTCAGCCTATGCATATGGTACTTCATAGCATCAATTATCAAAACAGTTTCCATCTGCTACATCACAGCTGCAATGTGCTAAGCCAGTAATATATATGAGAAAAAAATTAAACCACTTGAAAAACCTAAATTTCCAAAGAAGTCTTTTAAAATCATAACTCTGAATAGGTCAGGTGGAAGCCATTTAATCAAGTCTAATAAATGTGCTTTTAGGAAACTCACCTGTTGCACTAGAACAATAGAAAAGCATTTCCTTGCTTTTCCTAATGCTTTTGATGATTTGCTGTGAGAGCCACTCTACCAAGAGTAAGAGGAAGTTTCTCAGTCCTGCATTAGCTGAACCTCACATTCTCTCATGCCACATTTTTGTGATATTAGAAAGAAGAGTACAAACATAGCTATAAGCACTCATGGCTAATATTTAGTCCCTTATCTTTCTCCAGTTCCCAAGAGTAAAATTTTTATGGGGTATATAAAGTCCTGTGATATAAAGGCTTTAATTCCTTTGTCTGCTCTGGTGGACTAAGGATGGAGTAGTTTGTCTTTCCTGAATTTTTAGATGTGTGATTCCAACCTGTGCAACAATAGTCTCCAGAACCAAGTCAAGGTTTCTCTGTAGTAAAAACAAACAAACAAACCTATAATAATTGTGGCCTTAAAGATGAAGGAGTGGAGTATAGAGAGGAAGGACAGAGTTTTTTTACTGTCCCTTTGTGCCCCTTGAGGCACTTTCTGCTTTCTGTATGTCTGATGTAGTTCTGATTGCTCCTAGCTGTGCCACCGCTGAGTGTTTGGACTGCCTCAGTACCTGCCTGTAGCTGACATCTACTGGCTTTTGCCAGGAGTAGAATGTCCAGACATTGGATGGAAATCAAATCTAGCACACTAAGGCTGCAAAACAGTAATATCCTTTTAGCAAGACACTTCACTTATATGACTTACTAGCAAGTCAAACCTTACAGAAGTCCATGCAGCTGCCCTATCCCCTCCTTGTATATTCCAGCTTTAAAATGAGCTGGCTTATACACCGAGCCAGGATCTCTCTTGCCCTATGCTTGGTCTGGTGAGTATGGGTCCCCCATGGTGTCTGGGAAATATATCTCTAATGTCCTGTCTGTGGGCCCACACCCATGGAATCCAGCTTTCTCAGGCTGAGAGTAGACAAGCCTGAGTATTATTTTCCATGGATTGTGCTGTGCCCACAGGGCTGCCATGTGCAAGGAAGCACTTCACATGTACCCATGGAAGAATGAGCATTTTGGGGCTGGCCTTTTGAGGGAAAGCCATGTGTTGGGCAGGGAGGCTCAGCTTTCAGAGAGAAGCATGCACCGAGATCTGACCCAAAGTGACATGTCCTGGATATACTTGGACCTGTACATGACCACATTTTCAGAACAGCCTGCCACTGACCCTAACCACATTCTTGATGCCACACAGATCAAAGTTTCTGAGTCCTATCTAACAATGTCCCCCCATTCCCCCCAGCAAATATTTCTTCTTATTAAGGCTAGTGATGTCTTCACTGCACTTTGCTTTTGTGCTGTTGTCTCCCTTCATACAATGCAAATTGTTTCCTCTCTTTTCCTGGCTTCCTACTTCTCTACTGTCTTTGTCCTCTCTTGAGATGGAGGACAACAGCATCTTGTTTTTCTGAAAGCAAGAATATTTAAAACATTAAAATATAACCTGGACTCTGAATCTATTAGGACTGATTCAAGAAATGAATGAGAGGAAAAAAGAGCTCTGAGAGCGAGATTTCTTCTGCAAACTGCCATGTGATTATGCAAAGCTATTCTCTTATGTTTTCTGCCAGACAAAATATGTAGACATTTTTCTTGCCTTTTGGAGGGGAAATGCTGTGCATGTGCATAAATTCTGTCTTCTTTGAATTAAAATGAGACCTTAAAGAGTGGGTAAATTGCACTTTGCTGGGGTGAGCAGACTGGCAGCTCAGAACTGAGCCTGGTCTCACAGCACATTGCTGGTCTCAGTAGCAAGGCAACACAGAACAGGCTTGGTCTGCTTTTTGGTCTGTAACTCACTGTGTAAATGCCAGCCAAATTAAAGCAAAGCAGATGGGACAAGTAATATGAAGATTAATGAAGGTACTTGCATTTAAAAGTAACTGTAGATACATATTTTAATGGAAAAGATCCTTTCTAATTCAGAATAGCTGGTTAAAAGAAAAGGATCAAGCAGTGAAAACTGCTAAAGCTTAGCAGAACACACCTACAAAGAATTATTACAAGTGAATAAGTCCTAATGGACTTAATCCCCATTAAATAGAATTATCAGGTCAAAGACTTTTTTTCTTTCTCTGCTATCTGCACCACACTCTGAATCTACCATTTTTCCTAAAATGTAAAGAAAAGAAATCAAACTCTGATAAATTCTTTAGGGATTATTCACAATGAAATCTAACATGTTTTCATTCTCCTGTGACTTTTGCAGTTTCCTTCCAAACTTTTACAAATTTCTACTGAATAGTGACATTTTTCCTTTGTATAACTGGCTACACTTCAGCTGAAAGAGAAATGAGTGTCAGGGAAGAGTACAATAAGCAACTTCTTTTAGTTTTACCACACAAAAAAGGCAGGTCAACCTTAATGAGATGCTGAAAGATGCTTTCTGCTCTAAGAAAATTCTAAATCAATATTCAAAATTCCAGCCAATCACCAAGTATATTTGTAAAACATTTCCAGTATTACTCTAAACTCTGAGCTCACTGGGTGTTTCAAACTGCATAACTGGTTCACAGGAGGAAAACCAGACTTGTCTCTCACATGCCACTGTGCTGCTTCTTGAAATTGCTTCTTTTTGCTATTTAGATACTAACATACTCTTCAACAGTGTTTTAAGGGCAGACAGTGGAATCAGCTTTGTATTTTATTAATGAGTTGGAGGTACTTAAAGATGTACGGGAATCATAAAAAACCAAAATATTACCATTATATTGGAGACTGTCTCTAAGAAGCACACAATCTTCTGCCAGACCCAGATCTGGATTTTTGAGCTGCTGAGTTACCAAATTCTCTTTATCTATGTAAAGAAATGGCTGCCAGACTCTTCTTTCAGAGTCAGACTTGAAATTTCAGGGAAGAAGTATGACAGTTAAACTGCAACTTTTCAAGATCAATATAAATGTATGTGCTGTTTTTCATACCCAGAGAGGCTGTGTAAGTGACAAACTGTGCCAACATTCGCAAAGATGATTTTCTCTAAGAAATGTTAGAAGGTCCCTACTCCCACTCCCTCAAACCTATTCTGTGGTGTGATGCCACCAGATACCTGGTATAGTAGGTTTTGATGCAGCCATTCTGCTAGTGCACCTCCAAAATGAATGTTATCTTGAAAGATAAGGCAGCCATGTCTTGATCCAGAAAAGCTTGCCCTGTCTGTTCTGTTCTGTAAAGGGCTTGACTCCATGTGTGAGTCCTTTGCTGAAGTTCTTCACTGAGTAAGAATGTGCATAATTTCAGGGTTGTCCTTATGCCCCAACTGAGTCTGGCCCAGTATGGCTGAGCTAAGTATAAGCAGGACTCATGACTGTCCAAAGTCCAGTACTTTCATTACAGTAAATGTTATAAAGTTATGGTGCTTAAAAATTGTGTTACTCCTACAGGGTAAAAGAATAAACATGTTTTACCCTTGTGAACACATAATTTGACTATTGAGCAGCCTGGTCTACAAACTTGAGGCAAAAATCCTATCAATTAAAACACAATGTACCATTCTTGTTTTCCTTATAGTAAAGTGCTAAACACAGTGGCTCTTGAACTTACTGAAAATGGCTGTTTTGAAATAGTTTTGTTTAAGTTTTTGTACATCTTTTCCCACTAACTTAGCCTGTAATATAGTGCACCATGTAGAAAAAGCTGCTTTGTTGGCGTAAAACTGATGCATATGAAATGTCATCTGTTTCTGGTCCAATGTATGTATATTCTTTGACACAATCCAAACAAGGCATTTTCTCTTCCAGGCTCCACTGAGGTAAGTGAATATTTTGTTCTTCTGGAACATGCACAGGGATTTAGTAAAACTGTTACTGTGCTTCTCTTAAAACATTACACACTCCAACGTACATGCAATTAAACAGTGTGACAGTTATTCACACCCTCATCATATCTGCGTTGTTGAAATGATAAAAGAGCCAATTGAGACATTCACAAATCACACAGCAGATTTCCACGATGCCACATTACCCTTCGAGAAAATGATGAAACTTAGAATTATGTTTAACATCAGAGCAAGATTTGATAATGTAGATCTGAATACACTGTGTTTGAATTTAAGTCAGTTGACAGCTGATTACATGTGGGGACGGGTTGTGATCA